AAAAAAAAAAAAACCTCACAGGAAAGTCGCTGGTGTGAGTCTGCACTGGACGGCTGAAAACCACTGGGGACTGATGTTCAAGGGTGACAAAGGCACACCCCTCGAGTAGACTAAAGCTCAAAAAAATGGGCAAGCTTTCTTCTTTCCCTTGTGCAGTCCATCCAGGCTACAAGCTTATCAGCTGGTGCCACCTGCGACCGGGGTGGGGTCTCCCCCATCAGTTATTTCTGGAGACACTTCAAACACACACCCACAGCTGTGCTTTACTACCCTGCTAGGCATTTCCTACTGCGGTCCAATTGACGTTACCACAAGTAATGGGCCACAAAGTCCACAAAGCCTAGTTTACTAACTGACCCTTTATGGGAAAGGCGCTGACCCTGGTCTAAGGCGCATACAACTTCTGCAGGACCCTGCTTACTCCTTCAGACTTGTATCATTTTCCATCTTGTCCCTAAGCCAACCCGAAAGATATTTTCTCTGACAAAACAAAACAGAAACTATGCTTTCTCTTCTCTACCAGTTTCTTCCACCTGAAAGACCAGGCAGGAAGAACTGAGTACCACTATGTCCCAGGCTCTTCTGGGGTGGTAGCGTTTCCTAACCCCCAAGGCCAGATGGGAAGCCTCTTTGGTGTGATTCTGTTCCTGCCCCTTTCATTTGGCTTCTCTATTGAAAGCACCCATGTTCTTGTTGGTCCCTTGACACTGTGAGCCTTAAAGGTCAAGGCCGTAGCTTATTCATCTCAGGCTCCCTGGCACCTAATAGCTGCTATGTGGATATTAGGCAACATTTTAAACTTGGAGTCCACACATGCACGGGCATCAGGATCTATGAGCCCCCTGAAATAGGGTGATAAATGTTGCCTTTGTGTATGACTGTTTGGACACGTAGTCTACAAAGTAAGTCTACCGTTTTTATGAGCTCCACAGTTATCCCCCTTTCAAAGAAAAAAAAATAAAGAATTCCTGGTTAGTGAGGTACTGACAGGGAGAAATGAACCCGATTTGTTGACCTCAGTTTGACAAAACAAAGTTCCTGATTCCACCTACCACTCAGGACACACCTAGACATCTGTGTGGGTGACTAACACACCACTATGACTTTTAATGCCTCCTTCTGTTACTCCATTAGAGGGTTAGCGTTAGGTAAACACAGAATAGGAATAGGAGATTGTTATTTGAAGGAAGAACGTTTAAGGAGAGACTCTTACAAAAATCTGGACTCTGCTGGACACATGCTTGTGATGGTTAATTCTGTGTTAACTTGACTAGGTCATGGCACCCAGTTTTTGGTCAAGCAATAGTCAAGATGTTCCTGTGAAAGCATTTTTAGATGTTACTGGCATTCAAATCAGTGGACTTTGAGTAAAACATATAACCGTCCATAATGTGGATTGACTTCTTCTAAACAATTGGAAGCTTTAAGAGAAAAGACTGAGGTTCACCAAGAAGTTCTGCCTTGGACTAAAAACTACCATATCAGCTCTTTTCTGGATCTAGACTGCTCACCTCCCTTGTACCTGCACTGTGGACTTCAGACTTTCCAGCTCCCACAACTGTGTGACCCAATTTCTTAAAATAAATCTATCTATACATACCCTATTGGTTCTATTTTTCTGGTGAATGTTGATTAATGCAATTCTCTCTTGTCAAATGCTGTGGATTTACATATGCTATTTTGGATGATGATATGTTTTGGATACAGATATTTTTAGTTGGAATACTTTTTAGGACTAGAGTCCAGATTGCCACTCTCTTGGCTTCTTGGTTAATATTTTCAATTAATCTTAAGGTACACATTCCTTCTTAAATTGGATAAGCATTTGCTAGCGAGAGAAGTAGACAGACTTTTGGCATTGTGATGTTGGCTGGAACTGGGCTATGTTTGAAAACACAACTTTAGGGTCCCACAGGAAGCATAACTACTCTAAGACCTGTGCACACTATAGTTAATGTGGTGATGACCTGACAAGTACTCCTGGGAAATTTGAAATCTCTACAGTAGATCCATGTTTAGCCAATGGAAACTTTAATTATAAGAAACACTAAAAAATGGGCCTCAAAGTAGTCTTTTTTGTTTTTGCTTCCCTCTTTTATTTCTGCTTATTAAATGTACCACTGCTTTTAAGTTTTTCTACTATCGTTTTGCAAATATTGTACTGCAATTCTGGAATTTCATTTTGAAGATAATTTACTTACACTTCCACTCCCTTAGAATTTTTTTTTTGTTTTGAGCTTCTCAAGGACACAGGCCACAGGCAAGGCACAAGGCCACAGGACAAGGGAAACCAAGAAGAAACTACAGTGGGACAACTGTCATTCTTGAAATGTAATTTACAAGTTGGTATTCTCACAGCAGCACAGTGGCACTGAGAGAACATTCGCACCATTTGCAAAGCACGGAGGTTGTATGGTTTTTCAGAACAGCTGGCTCAGTGAACTCACCCCAGGCTCAACTATCGACTGCCCGTTTCCCTTTTTGTCTTCTAAAGCTCCAGCATATGAGGATTTGGCAGCTATAACGAGGTCTGAGTGTGACTGACACAGGAAACAGCTCATGGCTGGACTGGTGCCTGCACGCAGCTGAATGAGGACCCACAGCCAGGTCTTAGCAGGGAAGCAGCTGTCACCCAAGGCGCTGAGCCCAATGTCACCAGCTTGCTCGTTTCCTCCTCTTAAGTGTCTTACCTGCCTTAGGAAGGGAGCCGTAATGGTGGGATATGTATCACTCTAACTGCTCCCTGTGGTTGGGCAGCTCTTTAGGAAGGGGATGAGAGGAAGCACATTGGCATTTATTTAGTATATGCCACACTCTGCCAGGCACTTTACATATACGCTGCAAAGCAAAGTGATTTCAGAGCATTGCCCAGGCTTCAGCCATACTAGCTGCGTGGCCTTGGTAAGTCACTTAACTTCTTGCCTCATATTTTTTCTGTAACAATAATAACACCCGCGTCAAAGAATTACTGTGAAGATTAAACTAGTTATTAAGTCTAGAGCACTTAGAACAGTGTCCTGAACATAGTAAGTGCTATGTGCATGCTTGCTATTTCTATTACTTATTTTTAACACAGTTCTGCTTATCCTTTTATGCCAGAGGAAACTGAGGCTCATGGAGATTAAGTCAATTACCGGAGATGGCAGAGGCTGAAAACAAACTCAGATTTATCTGACTGCGATGTTTTCTTCTCAGAACAGGACCAGGCCTGCTCAAGGCTATCAAGTTCCCTCTCCTGCTTGCCAGCTCAGGGCTCAGTTTATCAGCCCTTCTTTGTACTGACAAGGATGAAATCCTATATGACTGAGGCCCTGTCTTTAATCTCCCCTCCCACCCATCTCTGGAGAAAGGCCAACGGTCTGGATGGAGGGCACTCAGGGAAAGGAGCAGTTTCCCTCCTACCTTCCATCCCCAAAGCCTAAGCAGCCCTCCTGATGTTGCCTGTGCCTTTTCTGACCATCAGAAAGCAGGGATACACATAATTAGGCACTAGAGAAAAAAAAAAAATCTTGATGAGCCTGACCTTTATCAAAACTTGGTGGATTTAGAGAGATGATGAGCTCCTATGGCAGTACTGCCCAAGAGAAATAGGAGAGATATCTATAATTGGAAAATTTCGGAGTTATACTAAAAAAGAACCCAAACTGAAACTGACTGCAATAATATTTAACCTACCATAGCTAAACTATTACCTCAACCTACAATCAGTGTAACATTGTTAATGAGATAGTTCACTTTTTCTGGCATTAAATGTTAAATCCATTATGCACTTTATACATGCAGCCCTAGAGTTATAGTAAGAAGCACTGTAACAGCGGCCAGCCGGAGACCTGGGTCCATGTCCAAGAAAGGCCATCTTTATTCTCTTGGCCATTTTAAATGTCTGACACTGCCTCCTGTCGTCATTTACCATGGGGGGAAAATGGTTGAAGGAGTAAAGATGTCGCCTTTATTCCTCGGAATTTCCTCGAAGTAGTGCAGATTTGTCTGGTGACAGATTTGTTGCGTGGTTACAGAGCGTTTGTGTCAACCTGGCAGCATCAGGCATGACAACGAGGGGAGTTTTAGGCTCTAGAAGGACTCGGGCAGTTCCTCTTGTGCCCCTCACCGACCCCAGAGCCAAGTGCTGTGATCCGCAGAGACTCGGGGCGGGCTCAGATTTCCTGGACCGGATGACAGGCCGGAGCCTCGAGGCCGAGGCCAGAGCCGCGCGGTGCGGGCCCAGCACAGGATGCTCCGCTTGTCAGTGCTCATCCCGAGCATCCGCGCCGGGCCCGAGCGCTGGGGCCAGGAAACCGCTGGGATCT